TCAAACACCGGAATTTTGTTCAGTACTTAGTTATACATGCTCACGAATCCTCTCATTATAACAAACAAAGTGTCGACACAATGTAAATAAGAGATTCATTGTGCAGTGTAGAGAGCTTCATTGATTATAATGGAATTTTGTGAGATCGCGATGAATTAAGATGAGTGACTGCTTTAATGATTATTAAGGGAGTTTGCAAATGTGATATTGATTTAAAGCGGTCATGAACTGGCTTTTTTATTATTTTATACTGTTGTCTGAGGTCCACTTGTGATGTTTGCATGGTTTTTACATTCAAAAACATAAAAATAAATTTTCTGTTTTCTGCCTTGATTTTGAGGCCGGCTCGAGAAACGCTCGGTTTTTATGGACGTGCCACATTGAATATTGTATAATATTTTTGCATAGTAAACTAACTTTCTGTGTGTCTGTTTGACAAGCTACATCCTTCATAGTTGGAGCCTTCTGTGACTTTGGTTAGACACGTACACATAATCGGGACATATCAAGCGATCTCAAACAAAGCAATAGTGACACGTAGTGCAAATATTTTTTACTCACATAAGTGTGCTACGCCATTCCTGTCAGATCCTATATAGACGGCACAGCATTGCTTTTTAATCTCAGTCTCTCTGCAAATCCAGCGTCGACCTGTGTCTTGTTTACAGAGGAATCCGCGGTGAAATGAAGCAAACAACTCTCAATGACTCTCAGTGAACTAAAAATAAAGTTCAACCACGCATTCCTAATATTTGAATCCGAAGGAAGGTTATGCAGCGACTGTGTTCCTCCACAACCAGCCACTGCATAATATTTTGCGATCTTCAACGGCATGTCAAGTCAAGTCACCTTTATTTGTATAGCACTTTATACAATGCTAGTTGTATCAAAGCAGCTTTACAGGTATTATTTTCTAGGTATTATCAAATGGCCAGAGTTTTGAGATTGCAGCGGACGAAAAGGACAATAATGCGATATGAGCTCGCTCAAGTACTGAGGAGCTAAACCATTCAGGGCTTTATAAGTAATTAGCAAGATTAAAAATGTATACAATGTTCAATAGGGAGCCAGTGCAGAGTTGACAGAACCGGGCTAATATGGTCATATACTTCTTGGTTCTTGTAAGAACTCTAGCTGCTGAATTTTGGACCAGCTGGAGTTTGTTTATTAAGCACGCAGAGCAACCACCCAATAAAGCATTACAATAATCTAACCTTGAGGTCATGAACGCATGAATTAATGTTTCTGCATTTGACATTGAGAGCATAGGTCGTAATTTAGATATGTTTTTAAGATGGAAAAATGCAGTTTTACAAATGATAGAAACATGGGTTTCAAAGGAAAGATTGCTATCAAATAGCACACTTTGGTTCCTAACTGATGACAAGGAATTAACAGAGCAGCCATCAAGTGTTAGACAGTGTTTTAGGTTATTACATGCAGAGGTTTTTGGTCCAATAATTAAAACCTCTGTTTTTTTTAGAATTTAGCAGTAGGAAATTGCTAGTCATTCGTTTTTTTTATGATTTTTTTTAAAAAATGCCAACTATGCAATCTGTTAGTTTTGCGAATTTGTATTTTTTGTCATTCGGCCACTAATACAGTTCACTTGAAGGAGCGAATGAAAACGAGTGATTGAAATTATGTATAAACCCCAATTAAACAATTTAAAAGGGTCATATGATGTTGCTAAAAAGAACATTAGTTTGTGTATTTGGTGTAATGAAATGTGTTTATGCGGTTTAAGGTAAAAAAAACCCCATTATTTTCCACATACTGTACGGTGTTGTTACGGTCTGAAAAGCGAGGTGTGCTCTGATTGGCCAGCTATCCAGTGCATTGTGATTGGCCAAATACCTCAAGCGTGTGATGGAAATGTTACGCCTCTTGACATATTGTGATGCCTTGTCCCGGCCGGAGCGGCAAGACAAAAACATTAAAACTCATTATAAATGAGGGATTTTGTTACATCCAGTGAGGACATAATTATGGATTATAATGACTTATACTGTCTTTTTACGCGTTGCATTGCATCGCATCGCGCCGCGTAAACTTAAAACCATGTCTGCATTTGTGATCGGAGAAATAACAAACAAGAAACGCTCAGAAAATCGTCAGTGGCAAATTCTTTAAATATAAAAAATGTACTTACAGTCTGTGAGTCAGAACAGCCGGCATTGTAGTCTACTCTACCAGGATCAGGAAACAGTCCTCCATAAAATGCGCTGGACACATCTGAATATTTGGGTTGAACTGTTCTGGAACAGTGTTGTAAATACAACTTAACCACTGATTTCTAGTCGTGTCCTCTTTTGGAAGGCTAAACAAAGTAGTTTCGCTTTCACAACGAAACACAGTGTCACACACGGCGGCCTAGAGTGAGCAGAGGCTGGCGGCTAGAGTGAGCGGTGGCCAGCGGCCTAGAGTGAGCGGAGGCCGGCTTAAGGCAACCACATGTGATGACCCCGGGCTGGACTCCGCTTCGTCCATGGAGAAAGCTGATCCGGCGATCCACAGCGCGAAGTTGATGTATTCCCTCAGCGACCAGCACGGATCAGCTCCAGGTATGACGAAGCAGATATCGTCCTCTTTTGGAAGGCCAAACAAAGTAGTTTCGCTTTCACAACGAAACACACGGCGCCTTCACGACATGGCGGCGGCGGCAACAACAATACTACAGCGAGAATAAAAGTTACGCCTTCTTTCTTTGCGTGAACATTTGTGCAGCGTTATGGAATTCTTCCCACATCATGACGTAGATATGTGGGGGCGTGTTAGAACGAACCATTTTAGGTAGGCATGTTTGACTCTTAACTTTTATAAAGATTGTCTCTTTGGATTTGAGACTTTAGTCTTTGCAACTTTACAGATCTTCTTTATGCACCAAGAGCTTGTAACACTCAAAAGAGAAAGGAAAAATTGAAATCGCATCATATGACCCCTTTAATAATCAATTTACAATGAATTTATACCTATGTTGTATTACGCTGTATGCCGTGGGACAAGCGCTTAGTAAAATGAATGAATGGATGGGTGATTCAGCTGTGGGTGCCGCCTTCTAGCGAGACACGGCAATTCATTCACACGCAACTCCCACAGTGCATTATGGGTATTCTCTAGCCGTTGAGAATACATCAGTTGTACACTTGTTATTGCTGTGCATTATGGTATTGAATGAGTGCGCTCGATAATGTCCACTAAGGTTTCGGACACCACTAAAAATGGCTTCTCAAATATTGCCCTATTTAAAGGTATAGGGGGCAATTTCGGACACAGGGAGTGACTTGCTGCCACCTACTGGCAGTTTTAGTTTCATTTTTAAAATATAATTTCAGTTATTTAAATAATTTTATATTTCTGTATTCAAAATGTTATATTTAAAATATTAATCTCAACATGAATTTATAAATTTAATTGCACTCATGCCACCTCTCAGCCTCATTAAATGTCTGTAAATATACCTGCATCCACTTTTGTGTTCTTCTGTGCCACCTCTGTAGTGCAAATGCATTTTTGTTAATACTGATTTTATTTGATCTGTAACTTATTCTGCTTATTCTATTGTTTTAATTAGAATTTTTTTAAAAAGCTTATAAATATACACTTTTGAATTTGATTGACATAAAGATGACATACTTTCAATAAAATTAGAAAAAATGCCATTACAAAGTTTTAAAAATGCAACTGTAAGTCACTTAGGTAGTGAAATATCTCATTATGGAAAGTTCTCTCTTAAGTTCTAGACAGAAATTCTAAAACTCTTCTATGTGGCAACATTCTGGCGGTTTCTCTGTGGATTAGGGTAATGAGAAATACTGTAACTCAAGGTAGTGTATTAGAAAGCACATCCACCTCAGTGCATAATGCTAATCAGTAAGGTGTAGGATAATTACTCTGTGCTGTGCATGAAGTCATATCATCAGAGAGAATTAAAGCCCTCACGTTCTCTGCAGGTGGGCTCATGCAGCCTAAGCTCCTGAAATATGATTGTCCACACATTTTTTTACACTCAATATAGAGGATTTCTATTCCATGGTGTGATGGTGTGTCCTCTGACATTGAGATATTTGAGCTCTTTTGATCGCAGAAGTGGTAATTATGGCTCCATGCTGCCTCCATACTCATAACTAATGTATTTACTTTTTTACTAATGTATTATTTTATTTTGCATTACATTTGTGCATTTGGGGGATGCTTTTATTCAAAGCGAGTTGCATTGCATTCAAGATTTTATTAGACATTTTATCAGTTACATGCATTCCCTGGGAACTGACAATTGGCAATGCTAGCACCATATACTGTTTGAGCTATAAGAATGAAGGCTCCACTAATTAAGTCATTAATTTATTTAATTTGTCTCGTTTGCCATCTAAAAGCAGGCTTATGGAGGCTGATGCTTCCAAATTAAGATAAGATTATTGGCTTTCAAACATTAAATGGGTAGTAAATTGCAATGTGTTCAATCTTTGTGTATTTCTGTGTGTCTGTGTGTGTGTGTGTGTGTGTGTGTGTGTGTGTGTGTGTATGGCATGTCAGGTTGTACTTTTTTGTTGGTCGAGGCTTCTTCCCTTTTATTTGTATTGTTTAATTTGTGTGAGGCTGGTGAATGATCTACACTACTTATCAAAAGGAATTTTATTTTATTTTAAGAAATTAACACTTTTATTCAGCAAGGATGCATTCAATTGAGCAATTGCGTTTACAATTATAATGCTACAAAATATTTCAATTTCAATTTTCTGGAGAAAAAGATTGGAGTAATGACAGTCATCACAGGCAAAAATTACATTTTTAAAATATATCAAAATAAAAAAATACCAATTTATTTTACAGTTTTTGATCAAATAATGCATCTTTGGTGAGCATAAGAAAGTTCTTTAAAAAAAAAAAATCAAAACCTTACCTTTTAAACTGTGGTGTATGTACAATGATTTAAATGATTCAGCTTAACTGACTGTGATTGGTTGTTCACAGTTGGGCTCCTGTGTGTGTATTTACAGAACAGGCCTCCGGCAGTACAGGGCTCCCAGCAACAAAGCCAATCTCCAGCATGTATGAACCCAGCCCTGATGAGCTCCCCTTGGGTGAGACAGAAAAACAGGGGCCGCGCCATAACAAATCCTCTATGTTTGTCGAGAACTGATGCGTTGCACTTTGTTGCATCTTCATTTTACACATTTTCACTGTTGTTTTAAAAAAAAAAATCTAATGATAAAATAGATGACCATCCTGCTTTGATTGCATGCAGAGCAAACTATTTAAAATGTCTCTCTCTCTTGACCAGAGCATGTCAACAGCAGTGCTTTGCTTTAATTCCATGTGCATGCGGTTGCTCACAGAAAATATTAAACTTCACCCATGCATCATGATTTCAGTCATTCTCAGTTCTTCAAATAATGATTTATTGGCTTGTTCATCTCACAGGGCACAGAATGCATTGGCTGAAAGTCATTACGTTGTTGCATTTTGCCCTGCGGTGGATTGTGGGTTTTCTTTCTGCCCTTTCTCCTTTAGTTTTCTCTGCTTTTCTTTGTATGCCCATCTCTTCTTCTTTCTTTTCACACATATAGTACCGGTATCAGGATGAAGATTCCCCTCCTCCGGATCATGGCTTTCCTCGGCTCACCAATGAAGTTCGAGCCCCAGAGCTGGTGCACGTATCGGAGAAGAACCTCTCAGAAATTGAGAATGTGCATGGCTACGTTTCCCACACTCACATTTCACCACTTAAGGTAAATCACCCTTTCTCGTACCATCCAATAAGTAACACAATGGCCCTCTTGACATTGCTGTCTTTCTTCTCCTCTCTTTTTTCATTTGTATGTCTGTGTGTTGGTCTGGTTGCCTCTATGAGTGTCCTGTTTTCCATGTCATGCTTTCATTCCTCACTCATTTACTAATTTTAAGAAATCTAAAGAAATCATTTTTATTTTATTTATTTCTTTATGTATTTATTGGAAAGAGTATGACCTGCAATGCAGACATTGATTAGAAGAATGTAGGTGATGGGTCAGTCTTCATTATAGTTCTAGAGCTGTGCTAAGCTGTGCTGTTGTGATATGACTTCTCAACACTAGATGGTGCTCAGTTTTTAGTTTAAAAGCAGGCTGATTGTAGCTGCATTATAGTAGACCTCCTTGACTGTGGCAGTAGGTAGGTTATTTTGTGCTGTGTTTGTCAGACACCGTAAAATCATCAGAAATAATTCTTTAACAAATATTGAATTTATGTTTCAGACATTCCACCTTTTAAATCCTAGTACAATTACAGAATTTATGTATTTATTGATTGATTGAATTTGGAACATGAATTTGGTTATAAGTTATAAGTATATGATTTATATGATACATTAAAAACAGCAGAATAAGTTGTAAAATATTACAACTTAAAATAACCATTTTCTGTTTTAATATATATATATAGATACAGATATACGTATATTGAGGTTTGCCATTAATTAAAATGGGGACAATTTCGACATTCTGCCTGATACGTGTGGCCAAAGATTCCATCACTAGTGTGAACAGATGGGGAGAAAGGGTGCAGCCTTGGCGTGTTCCTCTATGTAATGAAAACGAAACTGACAGTGTCTGATTTGTAAGGACCGAAGCCTCCGGTTTAGCATATGTAATACTGATCCATTGAATAAATTTACTATTGAATCCTAACCTTTTAAGAGTAGCAAACGTATAAGGCCATTCAATTTGATGAAATTCAAGCATCAAGCATGCTTTTGTTGTACGTTTTGTATACATTATGTTATAAAGGCACCTCAGGTTTGACTATATACAGTGGGGAAAAAAAGTATTTAGTCAGCCACCAATTGTGCAAGTTCTCCCACTTAAAAAGATGAGAGAGGCCTGTAATTTTCATCATAGGTATACCTCAACTCTGAGAGACAAAATTAGGAAAAAAAATCCAGAAAATCACATTGTAGGATTTTTAAAGAATTTATTTGCAAATTATGGTGGAAAATAAGTATTTGGTCAATAACAAAATTTCATCTCAATACTTTGTTATATACCCTTTGTTGGCAATCCTGTTTGGCATAAATACAGTTTGATCTTGAGTTATGATTGAACATATATATATTTTTTCAGTCTGTTAGCCAAGATCTTACTAATAATTTTTGCTTCTGATGGAATAAAAGAGACTGGGCGATACAAGGACAGCTTCATTTGATCCCGTCCAGGCTTGGGTATTAAAACTATATTGACTTTATATAATGTGGGTGGAAATTTTAATTAAAAGACTGAATGATTAATCATACAAAGAAACATGGGGGCAAGAATCTCCCAGAACTTCTTATAAAGTTCTGTGCTAAACCCTTCTGGGCCTGCACATTTATGGTTAGGGAGGTTCTGTTGAAATATATTTTTTAACAATTTTATAACAATGTAGAAGTCTTTGCTGCCACTTTTGATCAATTTAATGGATTTAAATAAAAGCTTACTGACCCCAAACTTTTAAACAATGGTGTATGTTTGTGGTTAATACAAACATGAATTAATTATTTGATTAAGAAAATATTGATAAATTAATTTTTAAAATTAAATTAATTAATTTAAATTTTAAAATATTTTTACTGCAATGAGAAATGAATATCAACTCAATGGATACTTGATAATGTTACATTAAACATGGATTATCAAATAGTTTGTAAATAAATAAATAATCAATGTTTTTTGCCTCTTTGTGGATTTTGTAAAGTGTGCTGTATTCATTAAAAGTGCCAGATACAAAACATACCTATTTATTTCAGAATTGAAAGCTTTTGTTGCTGTTTTTCTGTGATCAGATATGGCCCTGCTGGAGACACGCTCTCAGCCAGAAAGACATTAACAGCCTGTGCCTCATCTGATTGTCTGCAGATGATTCAAAAGCTCTGTGCGTTTATTCGATCTGAGGGAGTGTATGATTTTATTCCAGAGTGTATAGACCTGTCTAAAGCATTAGCCTCATCAGAATTCTGCACTGTCATCTCTTCTGCAGACAGTGTTTTAAGACCTCAGTCTTTCTATTTTACCAACAGCCATTTCTCCCCCAGTCACACAACAACCTCTATCCTACAGATGTGATTTCTCAGAGCAAACTCTCGTCGACACTCAGGTGCAGAATGTTACTTGTCAGTAGGACTAAAAAAACCTGCACTGACCTACTCCTCTCACTTCCTGTTCCTCAAAGCAAGGTGAGGGATACAGGAGAAAACACTGTCACACACAAGACATATTCTTACATTCTTTCTGTGCTATTTTTAAGTGATTGGTTTATGTACACATTTATCGGACAGATGTCTTTAGTGGCCATGACGCATCTCACTTTTTTTCAGCATCTTACGCCATGAGTGTAGAATTTAAGATGACGTGTCGGGTTAAATGAAGTTCAACTTTTCTTCTTGAGATCCCTGCATTCTGTTCAGTTCCTCTCTGTCTAGCCGTTTATGAAAGCAAGAGCGCACTCTGTGTGACAGCCTCAGATTGCTTTTACCATTCGTGTGCAGCAAGGGTCAGAAGGTCGTCTTAGGGGGTCAGAGCAAAATAACCTTAAAAATTAAAGCCTCATCCTGCCATCTTTTGTTTTCCTTCCCCTCCTTACTTCCTCTCATGGTTCATGCAGTATGTCTGCATTTTCATCGTCTTTCATCCTGTCTCCTCAGCCTCTCTCTTCCCTCCCTGAGTGCAGCCGACTTGCTGGTGACACTGTTTTGTATTTTCTCGCCTGCAGCCTGCGCTGGTTACCCGTTTTGATCTAACATACCCGGGGGTGACCGCAGCAAACTACCTGGCAAGTTTGTGATCTATTTTGAATGTGTCTATTTTTCCCCGTTGTTGTTTTCTTGTTGTTGATGTGGTGGTTTTTGTTGTTGTGGTTCATCCGTGCTCCGGAACATTACATCTGTGCCAGTGTTCCGACACTGTGTGACATCCGCATGAAATTCTTCAGAGGGCCTGAATAACAGACTGCTGGGTTTTCAACCAGAACCTCCCTTTGAAGAAACCCATTTGTGCAGTGAAATCACATTTATTTTCTCCAAATATGGTTGACACAAGTGTAGTCAATTTATGTGATGTTCATCTTATTGACTATTTACCCGTTGTTTTGGGGTGAATATGTCACTCAGTGTGATTGCTGCTGATATTTTGATGATGTTAATTGCAGATGAGGTACATAGACCATTGAGAGAAATCTTTGTTGGTTTCTGTTAGTGTGTGTGTCTGTGTGAATGTGCATCTCTGAAAAGATCTACCAGTTCTCGCATTAGCAGTCAATGATCGTACACAGCCTGTATGGCAGGTAGAGTTTGTGTCACACTTCTGGTATCACTCTGCCTTATCAGGCCTTCCAGAAACTCTATATGCACACACACAGAAAAGTAAATACACACACACTTACACACACTTCAACCATCCTCTCGGCCTCTTCAGTCTGTCAGTTGTGCTAATGCTATGGCCTCAGTAGACCGTCTCCATGACAGCCCGTCCTCTCCATGTCTCCCTGCCCACGCCAGGGACGCTCCACTGAAGATTAGCTAACAGCTTCAACGTGTAGATCTGTCACACCTCAGGATTGAATGAGGTACAAGTTAATCCTGAAATAAACAAAAATGCAAGGAAGCATAGCTGCATGAGAAACTAGAGTATGCAGACTGTGTTTCTGTAGGAGGCATATGTTGTGGTCACACTAGTCTATAGATATGCTAAATTATAATATTATTTTTTATTATTTTAATTATTTGTAATATTACTTTAAATGCTTTTATTATTTAATATTATATTATTTATATGAAATGTTATTTTAAAAATAAATATTTGTATATGTATACAATGCTATATATTTAAATATATTGTAATTTATTTGTTTTTTTATTATTTAACATCATATTTATAATAACAATATTAAAGGGGTGGTAGATCAGCTATTTTCAAAGGCTTGATTGCGTTTATGGGGTGCACTGTAACGTGTTAATGCTTATATAAAATTGAAATACACAGTGCACAATTTCTTAAGAAAAAAAGCATAACGCTATAAATAAAAGTAGTTTTTATGCATTCAAATAATTAGACATATTAAAACACAGAATTTGGTAACAATAAAAAAGGTGAAAAAAATAGAACATTTCATAAGACCCTAAACATAATTTTTGTTAAACTTTTTAATAGATTTGATGTTGAATTGTATACGTTTCATTATTTAATTAGACGTGCTTTTGATTAATAAAATGTAATTTAACCATTTAAAAAGGAGTCCAGAAAAATTAAAATGGAAAAAAAAAAAAAAAAAACCAAAACATTTTTTTTAAATTTAAAAAAAAAAAAAGGAATTTGGGAAAAAATAAAACGTATTTCATAGGGCCCTAGCATAGTTATTTATTTATTGTGGTAATCTGAAGGTTGTGTCAAATAGCTGCATTCTGTACGTTTTTACTCATGTACAATAATTTTCTTTGAAATACGATAATTTTGAGCTTCTGGATTCGATACTTGGACATTTCCAATCTGGCAACACTGTTACCAATATCCATGCTTTTCATATAATCATTCTAACAAATGATACTACAGTCCACAAAGGGATTATTTGATTACAGACTGTGGATCTACAGTGTCTGACTGTATAGCACAGTTTGTTGTGTCTTTATAGAATGAGTGTAGCCAAATATCTTTTGCCAGAACTATGAGCCCATTATGAAGACTAACCATGGCTTTACTACAGTGGCCAAATCAAACACAGAGCCATATTTAGTGTGCCTATAGCTAAACAAGCATGTGGGTAAACCTTACAGAAAAGCTGTAATCAACGAATAATTTACACTGATCACATAAACGCCAACAAACACCAGCATTCGAAGTTCACTGTTTGTAGGCGTTTGTCGGATAAGTATGAATTAGCATTTAGCTAACTGGCTAGCGGAGCCAGACAGCGTTTTCTTTGTTTTCGTCCTTGCTACAACATAAAAATAACAATAGAAACTATGGTATTCCCTTTATAAAGGGTTTATAAAGGTGTTCATGAGTGACTAATAACTCATTTACAAATGTATTATAAATTGATAAGAAGTTATAAATGCATAAATAAAAAGGCTGATTTCACCTGACAAATATTGAGCCATGTTTATCTTACATGTTATAAATGCTTAATAAATATATTTATTTAGTCATATTTATTTCACTCAAAACCAGATTCCTGATTTATTTTATGATGCAGCAAAAATGTACTTTTATAGCGAGACTGAAGAAAAAAGAAGAAAAAAAGTAAGAAAAGTGACACGAGTAAAGAGATATAAATGAGAAAAACCTAATAATTACACCCTTCAGTCCCGCTATAATAGTCTTATTTTTGCTGCATCATGAAATAAATCAGGAAACCGGTTTTGAGTGAAATAAGTATGAATAAACTGTGTTAAGTTGGGGCCCATAAACAACAACAACTGCTTTTAAAGTGGGAACTGCTCTTTCATTCAGGACAAGCTTTTGTACAAATCCGGTATTGAACTTGCGTAGATTGAGGAAGCTGTCCTTCGTAAAATGTGCAGCACAGAGAGCTATATTGGGATTATAATTTTCAGGAACAGAGTTAAAAATAAAATTTAACCATTGTTTCCTAAGTTCAGTGTCCCTAGAAAGGCCAAACAAAGAGGACCTGCAATCAAATCTTCCTCTTCTCTAAAGCAGCCCAACAAGGCCTCACCCCCTTTGTTATGTGTTCCCGGGGGCAGGGTTTATGTAAATGTCAGGGTTTGTGATGTCACCAACCCAGGAAGAAGCTTGTTGTAGTAACTACCAGCCTTTGAATTCTGTAAAAGAAAATATCTACCTTTGCACCTACCTGTCGTAACTTGGCAGATGTTGTTTATGTTCAAACAGCAACATTGCACACTAAGTAAAAAAAAAGTGAAATCATAATAAAGGACCGCTTTTAAATATTATTATATAATATGATGCTATTAATATAAAATATTATTTGGAAAAATATAAATAAAACATTTTTATTTAATGTCTATGTATTTTAAATTTCTAATCATTTAAATATTTATTAATGTTAGATTTATAATGACATTATTAAGTAATATTGAATATTATCATTTAAAATGATAAAAATATATATTTTTGGGAGAAAAAAAAAAAAATATATATATATTAAATGCAAATACTATGTATTTTTTACATTTACTAATATACTTATTTTTCAAATAATAATTTACATGAATTCACAGGTCAGAGTTCACCAAACTTGAACTTTGGTATACAGTGAAAGATGAAACTTAAATAAATATTTTAAAATATGCATGTATTTTATGCATTCATGTGCTAAATTAATGGAATACATACATACATTCATATATATATATATATATATATATATATATAGTATGACCCCACCTTTAGCCTCAGACGGCACACATTTATGAATCGTTTAAAGCATATTTTACACAAAATATCCTTGAGTAAATCTGTATATTCATATGTACATGTTGACCAGATGAATCATTCCTGTCCAAGTGAGCAGTTTTTGGCCAGAATAAGTTGAGGACAAGACTTTGTATAGATGGTCAAAAGTCTCTCTACATGAGACTAATAGAAGCTCTCAGTCTGGATGCACTCTATTCAACAGCCAAACTTGTTGATTAAATCTCTATCGACTTTCTCTGCATGTATATTCTAGCCTTGTCATCCCCTCGTGGCTCGGAGAGAGAGTGTGGAACTTTTATGCCAAGAGGTGAGCGAGAAATGTAGCTCCATTATTCTCTCTGAATCTCTGCAGGGCTAAACATGGTGAATCAGCTTGTACACCTGTCGCCTGCTTTCAACCCAGGTCCTCCTACTGAAAAGCTGCTTTAACACAAAGGCACTAATTGTACGGCTACGTAAGACGGTTGTCTCAGAAGCTTGACAGTCGGATGGCAGGATATTGATCCTCAAGTCACATTATTGAATAACATATCAAGCAGAAAGGACATGCACCTTCTAGATGAGATATTAGCCATCCACCAGTCGAGCAAACATCTGTGGTTTTAATGAGCGGAGCTCAGCAGGGGTGAGGCATGATATTTATTAGCAGAATCAGTGTGACTGCAGAGCTCTTTTCTTCCTGAGAGAGCTTTCTTCTCAGAAACGTAGTGAGAGACAGCAAAGGCTTAGGGTTAATGGTGATTGTTTGGTTATCTCTCCTCCCTGGTGAAATTATTACTTCAGAGTCAGGGCTCTGTATGTGCCCAGGTCGGAGTAAAGGACCAGGCTTGATTGTCTGGGAGATGAGCCTGGGATGGAATTAGAGATGAGGCAATTACCTCAAAAAGAAAGAAAAGAGGAGGGGAGGAGGTGGAAGGCAAGGAGAAGAACTAAAAAAAAAGGAAAGGAGAGTTGTGAGGAGACCTAAATACATCAATTAATCACAAATTTGTTACTGTTTAATCCGTATCTAAATAATTTAGCACAGCTGCCAACAGGAAGAAATATGTTAAAGTATTACTTATTATTTAGCATACTTTTTTTTTTTTTCATTAAACATTGTCACATAAAGTGTAACTAAGTGTGGTCACATAAGCAAAAAAAAAGGTCTGTTGTTAATAGTTTAGCGATGTATGGAGCACAGCTTAATTAGAAGTGGTGTTGTTTTAGTATTGTTTATATATTATTATAGTATTTATTAATATTTCGAATTAACTTTTATTTTTACATTTTCAGTATTCATTTTAATTTTAGTTTGTTTTTGCTTTTGTCAGTTTGAATTTATTCTTGTTCAGGTTTCTAGTCATTTTAGTACTTCAACATAAACATATTTATTTG